CGGCGAGATCGGATAAGGGCAACAACCGTTAGGAGAGACGGAGCAACGGTGAGAGGGAGTGCACAGGGCCCACGAAGAGATGCACCGTTAACCGGAACGAGTGGGAGTGCAACGAGAAAATAAATAGGGGAGGTTGGGGTCCGGACCGGCACTTTGTGAACACACGCGGTAAGCAAACGATCGACAACAGAGATACAAAACAAATAAAAATAAAAAAAATTTGGCGCACGTACAAAAGTTCGTGGAGGATCAGGAAGAACGGCTGCGGTACGGAGACTACGACGTCGACGTGCACCGTCAGCATGAGGCGACCGTGCCCATGCGTGGAGACGAGTGCGGTCGGCGAAGTAGCTCTCCCGTGCTGCAGGTGATGGCGTCGCCATACATTTCGCCAGCGCCATCGTCATGCTCATCGGCGAGCCCGGTGGTGTCGCCGGTGGAGAGTGAGGAAAGCTAGAGCGAGGATGACGTCGTCATCGTAGATTGGCAGCCGGCGCCCAAGCGAGGGGAGCTGCGGCGCGAGGTGCGCAAGGCAGACGAAGGGAGGCGCGGCGAGGCGAGCTGCGGAGAGACGCCCAGTGGACCAAGCACCGTGAGGGACCGCTGGAACTTCCTCACACCTGAGGAGAGGGTCCGCATCCGGCACTTCTTGGAAGGCATAGCCGCGAAGAAGTGGGCGATTGCCAAGGAGAAGAAGCTGACTGAGCGGGAGGCTCGGGTGCTAAGGAGGGAGAAGAAGGTCCGCACGCAGTGCCTCTTAAGAAACATCGCGGTGAAGAAGAGGTGGGTGGAGGCCAGAGAGAAGGCCCTGGTGGAGCGGGAGGCTCGAGTGCGGAGAAGGGAGCACGAGGCATGCCCACCGTCACCAAAGAGGAGGAGGGAGCCCACACCCACGCCCACGCCTACGTCCACGACCACGCCCTCAATGAGCTGGGAGGAGCGGCTGCGCAAGCCGAGGAGGAGGAAGAGGCCATGTGGGGAGCAGAAGATCCCACGGCAGGTGCCAAGGAAGCGGCCCAGGGGGTGCCGACAGCACCGGAGGAGGAGCCGCAACGGCAGCAGCAGGAGCAGCAGCATCAGCAGCAGCAGCAGCATCAGCAGCAGCAGCAGAAGCAGCATCAGCAGCCTCAACAACCAGGGCCCGGCTGGCAGGGTCCCCAGAGAGCCGTGATCGGCCCGTTCGTGTCCCAGGAGGTGCGAACTGCGGTGCGCGGGAGGATGGTGTGGCACCATCAAACGCTGCATATCACCTGGGCCTCGGGGCCTGCCCCGGTGGACCCGGATCCAGAGGAGGCGCGGGTATGGGAGCAGGCGCCATCCCACAGCAACAGCCGCTACCCAAGGCGGAGACCGGCGGGCCCAACAACGACAACGGCCGCGTGCGGGTGGATGCCAGCGGAAGAGGCGAGAGAAGAGGAAGAGGCGCCGAAACAGGCTCCGAGGGAGGTGGAGCCGGAGGCAGCGGAAGCGGAGCCAGATGTGCCAGAGGCACTGAGGGTGCTGCGAGCGGCTGCGGCGATTCTGCGGACAGAGGCCCTGGCACAGGAGGAGAGGGCAGAGCAGGCGGAGCAGCGACCATCGGTGGAGCCACAGGCGGAGAGCGCGGCCGAGGCCTCGTAGCCAGGGGAGAGGGGTCCGTGGCTGTGGCCAGAGCCGGCACCAACGCTCAAGCAGCCGACAGCCGCGGGCCACGCGAGCGCCGAGGGGTAGCCACGCGCAGCGACGAGGAGTGATAGTGGAGAGGGGAGTCAAAGGTGAGGTAAAGCTCGAATATCGATATAATATCGAGTGCGTGGCAAAACAACCTCGCATGATATCGAGTGCGGGGCAATGCAACCCCGCACCTTATCGATCGCACCAACGAATTCGTTAGGTCCGGCAACCTCGCATGATATCGAGTGCGTGGCAATGCAACCCCGCGCCGGGTCGATCGCAACACCGAATTTCCCCGATCTGGCAACTCTCCAACTATCGATCGCACCGTACACTTCCCGAGATGGGGCAGCCCGCAACCTGACACTCGCTGCGTCGGGTTCCATCGGTCTGGCGGCACCGAACCGGGTAACTGGGACCTGTTCGACCGGAGGCGGCTCGAACACATCAATTCAAAAGCGCGCGCGCTGAGTCAAGAGCGGCGCGCCGATCCAGCGGAAAACAAAGGCTTTCCGCTTCCCGAAGAAAGAGGGGAGTGCGAGGGAACGTGTCCCTCACAGGCTTTAGAGGGTTAAAGCCTGGGGCTCGGATATCCGAACACGTCGAATTTGGAAGAGGCGCTCAGAGAGCGGGGACCCCAAGATGGCGGCGCAGAAGAGAGTGGAAGGATGGGATCGGGCCGGCAGCGGACCGACGCATGACCAAATATGGCCATGTGATCGAGGTCCCGTTACGAAGAAGGGAGAAAGCATCAGAATCGCCAATGGAAAAACACTGACCGCGTCGGAGAACCGTTAGCCGGCGTCTATATAAGGAGGGTGGCCGCCAAGGCTCGGGATCTTCACGCGTGAGCAGCCCAAGGGCTAGGTCGAGTGTTCGGGTGTATAAGTGAATCGAAGTGCATAATAGCGGAAATTGTAACGGGACCATCAGATTTTCGGACGAGGTTACAGCGGAGAAAGGCGAACCNCCGAGATGGGGCAGCCCGCAACCTGACACTCGCTGCGTCGGGTTCCATCGGTCTGGCGGCACCGAACCGGGTAACTGGGACCTGTTCGACCGGAGGCGGCTCGAACACATCAATTCAAAAGCGCGCGCGCTGAGTCAAGAGCGGCGCGCCGATCCAGCGGAAAACAAAGGCTTTCCGCTTCCCGAAGAAAGAGGGGAGTGCGAGGGAACGTGTCCCTCACAGGCTTTAGAGGGTTAAAGCCTGGGGCTCGGATATCCGAACACGTCGAATTTGGAAGAGGCGCTCAGAGAGCGGGGACCCCAAGATGGCGGCGCAGAAGAGAGTGGAAGGATGGGATCGGGCCGGCAGCGGACCGACGCATGACCAAATATGGCCATGTGATCGAGGTCCCGTTACGAAGAAGGGAGAAAGCATCAGAATCGCCAATGGAAAAACACTGACCGCGTCGGAGAACCGTTAGCCGGCGTCTATATAAGGAGGGTGGCCGCCAAGGCTCGGGATCTTCACGCGTGAGCAGCCCAAGAGCTAGGTCGAGTGTTCGGGTGTATAAGTGAATCGAAGTGCATAATAGCGGAAATTGTAACGGGACCATCAGATTTTCGGACGAGGTTACAGCGGAGAAAGGCGAACCGTAACAGTGCGGAATTGGTGTGGCCGATTAAGATCAATTGCCCCAGTTCATCGGCACCAACGTGCAACGCCCGGAGTCAACCCTCCGAAATCGGCAGGTCACAAGATAGCGATAACATAGCCATAAGCTAGGCTAGGCTATAGAGATTAATATACTGAATAAAACCCCAATTGTCTGAAATAAACTAATCCTGTCTTTTTAATTGGTCGTCGAGGCAACAATACAAATTCGTTGCAACCACCCAATTTCCCGCTGAGTCAGCCCAGAACAGGTCACGCGACCGGAAAAAGGGTTCGTTACAATACATACACTTATTGGCAGAAATGCTAGGGGAGCCGTTCTGCCGACGAGACCTCCTTATATAGTTGCTTCATGGGTAACGTCTATCTAAGTCGTTCCACTACAGGCCCCTGTAGCACTTATTTAGAACTCGGCATACAGTCACTCACGTGTTTTGTTGCTTTTATATGCGCTGAGCTGAACAGAGAGACGAAGTCAAAAACGTTTCTGGATTCTCTGCCGCTAAGACAGCCGAGCAATTGTGAATAGGCCCCATACGAAACTGATTTTCTGTCGCTGCGGCGTTTCTCTGTGCTGATGGCAAAGTGACAGGAAGTCATCTCTGCCCGAGATCGTTACCGGCCTCTGCTCTGATTTCGTGTTTTTCAGGTATACAAACGAAGGAAAACCCATCAATATCCTGCGAAAACATCAAAGCCATGCCCTATCCCTCGACATACGAATATTTGAAGTACAGAAACTTGCAAATCTTAGTACACCAGACGATAAATATCACTGTTGTGTGTTTCGAGTAAATCTAAAAACAGCTAGACACGCAGCTGCTTCCCAATTTGTGATTTGAAACTTGTAATCTAAAACAAACGAGAAGGGACGTGTGAGACGCTTCTTACGTCACAACTTTTATACCCGGCACTCAGTACTACATCTGCACCTTAGCGGTGTTTTGTCAAATTGTACATTTTTTCTTCATCTGTCTTCTACAACTACAACTCTTCTCAAACCAACACGCTCCGTTAGCTCGCCGCCCTTCCCTAGACCCACACACTACAGACTCGCGGCAGCGGCAGAGGCAGGGCTCGCACACAAAAAAAAATCAAATATAAGCTGCGAGACGGGGTGGGTTAAAAATCGGTAGAGGCAGAGGCAGAGGGACGGCAGAGGCAGGGGCCAGAGGAAGCAGAAGCATAGTGTGAATGAGAGAATGTGAAAAAACAACAAAAGCTGCTGGACACGATGGGTTTAGCCACTGAAAATCATATTCTTCATTCTGGCTGTATAATGATATTATATATAATAAATTATATTATATAATAAATGTTCTTGTATCTTCAAAATTGAAATACACTTGTAACAGTGTGAGCATACAGAAGTCTGGATGCACAATTTGGTGGCTCTAGCTTTTATATCCTCTGAGATCCAAGCGCTCAACAAGACGGATGGATAGACGGACAGACGGACGGACAGACAGACATGGCACAATCGACTCGGTTATTGATGCTGATCAAAAATATACTTTATACTTTATGGGGTCGGAAACGTTTCCTTCTGTGCGTTACATACATTCACTTTGTGCACAAATACAAAATAACCCTATTTACTCTTCGAGTACCGGGTTTAAGAAGTTGGTCAGGATCGAAGCGGCAAAATCGTGTCGAGTAGTGTAATCGGATAAGGATGCCTTTCATTTTGTTCGATTCGTTGCATTTTTGTATACAAACACATTACTATCTTTCAAAAAATAACATTTTAATACAATTAAGTTTAATTCTATTTTATGAATCTATTTCACACCCTTCGGAGCTAGTCACATTGCTCCTATGAGGTGCGAGAATAAGGAGGGAATCATCTAAATATGTTGAAATTTCAACTTAAAGTACTTGGCATATGAAATAAGTTTCAATCACAAGAACAAGATCAACACAAACTGATACAAAACAGTACTTAAACGTTTACACAGATCATTCTTATTGAACATGTTTGAAGATAGTGTCAACTAATTTATTACAATCATGCGCACATATATTTTTTCTAACATTTGAAAACGATCGGATAAAAAACAATGAAAAAATATTAAAACAATTTTCTTTGGTTTTGGTAACAAAATTGCGTATCAATTTTCGTTGGCTCTATTTTTGTCCCATTGAATGGAATAATTCAATGGTTTGGATACAACACGGATCGCAGAGTTCCATTTGCGTTCTGCTCACTGTACCAACTCACACTCTCAAAGAGCAGAGCACATTTCATCTCTTCGCTGAAAGCGAAGAAATCGGTCTCCGCTTGAGCAATAGTGTCAATAATTATTTACGAGGTCGTGTTGAATATTATCTGATGTGTAAAACACCCGATCTGGTTTCCTATTAATGTTTTGAGTTTTTATGGTAGAAAATGCTAGCGTGCTCATTAGAAGCAAGACTTGTGGGATTGGATTGTTGTTCAGTATTTTTCCTTTATGTACGAGTATGTGGAATTAGATACTTTAATCTGTGTCTTGACGTCATGTGTTGAATTTGGTTTGGCGCAAAGAATAATATTATGTCTGACAGTCGTTGTTGACTTGCAATTTGGTTATTCCTGCTCCTACTAATAGTCCTAATCCTGGTGCCTGAAAAAGCCTTGCATAATTATCTACTTGGATGTATTTATGGTGTGTGTGTGTGTGTGTTTCAATCATCTGGGAACGTACACGCTCCATTAGCGGATCAATGTCGTCCTTGGTCAGGCCTTTGTGCTGACCGGCGGCAGTGTGGTGATAACTATCCGTCCAGCGTTGAGTATCTTCTTCTTGTCGTTCAGAAATGTGCAGTGTGTGTGTGTGTGTGTGTGTGCGTGTGTGTGTGTGTGTGTGTGTGTGTGTGCGGTGTGTGTGTGTGTTTGTGTGTGTGTGCGTGTGTGTGTGAGAGAGTGTGGGTCAAGTGTGAGATAAGATCGACTCTCGCTTAGGCAGCATCACTATCACCACATCTAGAGCGTTTTTAGCATGCTTGCCTTGGCGGCTGTGACGCTGCTCTTGTACGTCTCGTAGCTGGCCGATGCTGCTGCTGCGGCTCCCACATGAAGCGGTGCATAGCTCGTACTGACGCTGGCCACTGTGGCATCTATTTCTGACACTGGTTGCGGGACTCCTTCCAACGCTGATGCTGCTGTTGCTGATGATGATGACGATGTTGAAGATAGCGCTGAGGACTTTAGCGGCTTGTAGCGCAGCTCCAGGGCCTCCGCAGAGGTTAGCTTGAATGTTTCAATCATCTGGGAACGTACACGCTCCATTAGCGGATCAATGTCGTCCTTGGTCAGGCCTTCTGTGCTGACCGGCGGCAGTGTGGTGATAACTATCCGTCCAGCGTTGAGTATCTTCTTCTTGTCGTCCAGAAATGTGCAGTAGGAGCTAAAGACCACGGGCAGTATGGGTATCTGCTCCTCAATGGCCATGTGGAAGGCACCCTTCTTGAAGGGATGCATATCGCCTGTGTTGCGACGCGTTCCCTCTGGGAATACCCACAGCTTGATGCGCTGCTTTTTAATGCGTCGATTCACCTCATTCAGGGTCTCACGCGCCTTCTCCCCCCTCACCCGATCGATGAATATGAGTCCGGCCAGCCAAGCGGCCAATCCAAACGGCCAGGCGTAGAAAAGCTCTCTCTTGGCCACCACGGTGCACTTGTTCATCACATGCCAAATGTTAAACATTCCTGTGCGATTAAAAAATAGTTATGAGCATAGATCACATCAACTAGATTCGATTCGTTAGTTACCCAGCACATCCAACGAGCTCTGATGATTGGCTACAATGATGCAGGCCTGATCCTTGGCCAGATGCTCCTTGCCACGCAGCTCCCAGCGCAGCCCAATCAGCGCTGTCACGCGATGACACCAAGTGCTGGCCCATCTGCAAAATCGAGAAATCAATGGTTTGAGTATCAGTAGATAGATAATATTATTTGTTACAGAGTGAATTTGTGTGCACTTAACACTTAGAGCTCATGCCAATTGTCTCCCGTGCAGATCATTGATCGCTCGTTGCCTCCATGAAACGTATTAAATCGCTTTGCAGGTTCTATGTTATTATTATACCAGGTACTCGAAGAGTAAATAGGGTAAATGCGAATAACGGTTGTACGTTTCCGACCCCATGGAGTATATATGTACTTATATTCTTGATCAGTATCAATAGCCGAGTCGATTGAGCCATGTCTGCTTGTCCGTCTGTCCGTCTTGTTTGTCGGCTAGTTCTCAGAGACTATAAGAGCTAGAGAAAACCTCTAAAACCTACAAAGTTGAAGATAAACGAAAACTAACGAGAAGGGACGTGTGAGACGCTTCTTACGCGTCACAACTTTTACACCTTAGCGGTGTTTTGTAAAATTTTACATATTTTCTTCATCTGTCATATACATCTACAACACTTCTCCCACCAACACGCTCCTTTAGCTCGCTCCCCTTCCCTAGACCCACACACTGCAGACTCGTGGCAGAGTGAATGGCGGAGACGTGTCTGCGCGAAACAGACTGTGAATGAGAGAATGTGAAAAAAAAACAAATATAAGCTGCGCGACGGGGTGGGTTTAACCACTGTAAATTAATTTCTTCATTGTGGCTATAATAATGTCCAATCGGACACCCAATTTGGTGATCTGATAGCTCTAGCTTTTATGGTCTCTGAGGTCTAGGCGCTCAACAAGACGGACGAACAGACAGACATCGCTCAATCGACTCGGCTATTGATGCTGATCAAGAATATATATACTTTATGGGGTCGGAAACGTTTCGTTCTGTGTGTTACATACATCCACTTTGTGCACAAATACAATATATCCTATTTACCCGTCAGTACCGGGTATAACAATATGGTACCGGTACACTGACTCAGTGCCGGGTATAAAAGTTGTGACGTGTAAGATGCGTCTCACACGTCCCTTCTCGTTTTTTAATCATATTAATACCCAGCCGGCGTAGCCGGGCAATCAAAGCTATGTATAGGTACTATATACGAGAATTTACTAAATGTGAACTAGAGTGACGCGTTTATAGCCGCTTTATTGCGCGTCACTTAGAGGCTTGGAGTATAATTAATTATAGGCCAGGCGATGGCATTACCATTGTTGGATACCGGTGACCGGGTACCACCCAATCGATAAACTGCATAAAGTAGTTGAGGAAACAAAGGCATAATTGATACTACAAGCACGAGTACGAGTACGAGTAAACCACAACGTTATCAAATATTCATGATTTTTCACAACACACTTTTCACAAAGTGTCATGCGAGTCGAGTCGTGTTGAGTCGATTCGCAAGTGCGGGAAGGAGGTGTGTGCACGGGAGAACAGACACCGCAATGGAGCGACCTCGGGGCCACCTTTTGGTATAGGTATTGGTATAGGTATAGGTATAGGTATAGGTATAGGTATAGGTATAGGTATAGATATAGGTATAGGTATAGGTATAGGTATAGGTATAGGTATAGGTATAGGTATAGGTATAGGTATAGGTATAGGTATAGGTATAGGTATAGGTATAGGTATAGGTATAGGTATAGGTATAGGTATAGGTATAGGTATAGGTATAGGTATAGGTATAGGTATAGGTATAGGTATAGCCCCAACAGAATGGCAAAGCACCAACTTTGTCCTTCGATTGACACACAGGTGGCGGTATCGGCAAGCATTGCCAAAACAAAACAAAAAAACAATTATTAATGCCGTTTATGCGGTTGTTGGACTATAGGATACCCTCGAAACGGAATGGGTCTATCCATTTCAGATGATAACGCTGACATCAATCCATATACCTTACAGTAATGTGACTCTTTGGGGCGCACTTTTGCTTCCAGTTCAATGCGAAACTAACCACACAATCCAGAGTACTCTGGAAATTTACATAGAATATACAGTTTCGATATTTTCAGAGTGACATCCAGATGGCCCCACCGAGTAGCGTCTTGTGGTTGCCACCTGCAATCTTAACTTGTCAATATTGATGGGAAATTAATGTTGTATGTGTCATTGACGTCGGATGGTGGTGGCTTAATAATTCATGTAGCATTTGAAACCCTTAGGGGGTCCCAGTGATAGGATTTCTAGTCCCAACTTGTCAAAACCCTCCAACGACAAAGTCTGGCCGACAGAGAGTCACCAATTAAACCGGGTTAGCTACATACATAAGTCCAAATATTAACTTAATCAGTGCACCTGCACACTGTAAGAACAATTTCTTATCCGTAAATTAAGTGCTTCGTTCCCCAGCAAATTGTACCTCAAGAGAGCTGTCGAAACAACATCGCCGAATGCATTATTCATCGGCAATTTGAGTGTCCTGCAATTGGTTATAGACTAACCACTTTGAGGTAGCATGCCATTAGAATGCAGCAAGCAAAGTGCAGAGTAGGATTCGGTTACTACTAATACTAATAATACCATACTAACTAATACTATACTAATTTTCTCCCTTGTCGGCCAGGCCAAAACTAAGTGTTTGTCCTTTCAAAAGGACGTTCCACTGTAACTGAATGCATTCAGATTGAAGTTAATTAAATAAGAATAATACTTACAGCAGGTTGCGCACATCGCAGGGGCGTGTGAGGAAGGCCGGTATGAGTACGATCGAGTTGAACGACACGATGCCGTAGTAGATTAGGAATTTGAAATAATAGCGAAAAATGTGATTCGTCTCGTACAGGAAGGGCAACATCAGCAGCAGAAACAGTCCCAGCAGCTCGATGAATGAACTCATGGCGTATGGACCACAAACACACCGCCGTTGCCGGTTCGTGCTGGATTCAGATTATTTTTTCTAAATCTGGATTTTGGCTTGTCCTCCGTCTGTTCCTCATCCACCGATTCTCCTTCTCTCCGGCTAAGACAGATTGCAGTATTTTCTTCAGGTGGAAACTATCGGTCTTCTTACGCTATAATAAAATAATCTTTTAAGATTATGTAAATCGGGAATGAACTTGTCAATGACCAAATAATATGTTTGTTAGTTAATATCTAAAATTCCTTTTATATAAGAAACAATTTATCATTTTCAGAGACTCAGAGACTATCTTCTTAAATTCCAATTTTTTTGATAGTGTTTATTATTAAAAGATGTTATTGAATGAATTCTACCAAAAAAGTTTGATTTTACGATCAAAATATTTATCAAATATGATCAAAATTATTATCAAAATACCTTATTCGACTAATTAATTTTCTCAGTACAAGTTCTCTACTTAATTATTTCATTGTTGGAGCTCACAAATGGACTAGGTCGGGGAAAACTCTCATAAAAATATTACTTTTTCAATATATTAGACCCACTCTTTGGGAAAACGTCTTTTCCCGATCAATTTTAAAGTAGGTTCTAGTTTTTCATAAAAAATGTTTTTGTTTTATCTTGTATTTATCCAGGCACCCATGGCATATACATATTCGATAAGAAACACCGGGACTTTGAAAAGATTTTTAGAAAGAAAACGGGATTTTCCTTTGACATTTTTGCCACTGTATATACATACATATGTACATATGTATGTACACATGCATGACAGCCGATACTGAAAGTATTTCAACGACTTCATTCCTTTTGCAGCTCCTTGATCAGCGCTGAATGTGTGCCGCTGGGCGCGTTGTGTATGCAGCATATAATACATATGTATGTAAATACATACTTTCGTATGTATGTACATATGTATACATATTATGCACATACTTACATATGTATGCATGGTTGTTGCAGCTGAGAAGCAGCAGCAGCCGGAATCCGAGAAGAAAAATCAATTTAGATTTGCGTCCAACGTCGAACGAAGAAAAAAAAACAAAACAAAACAAAACAAAACAAAACAAAGCAAGAAACATGAAGCAAACACTAACTTTAAGCACCGGAACACTTGATACCCTCTTCAGAACAACGCATACTACACACGTCTATCGATGCAAATGAAACTCCTTTAAGGATTAAAGGGGGATTAAAATGCATCGTTTTCTGCGTTGCAAACATTTTGCAAAAATCATAATACCTTCTGCCGTACCAGGCAGCCGTACCCATATCAAAAATCAAGAGAATTCGTTTGCATATTTTCATATGTATGCATGTACTTGTGTATGAATGCATGTGTGTGTGTGTGTCTGTGTGTGCGGGCAGCCATGCTAGAAGAGATACTGAGAACAGTTATGAATATCAAATAAAAAATGCATACTGCTGAAAGACCTTTGAGATCTTCGATGATGTCTCGTAAATAATTTCTATGCCCACTGTAGGCCCACTCTTGCTCTCTCGAAACGGTGACCGGGACCCGCACACATCTGGTAGAAAAGCAACACAACAACAGAGGGTTGCAGATGCAATCACAGTGAAATCGAGAGAGAGAAAGAGAGAGAGAAGCGACAAAAACTAAGGCACGACACGCCAAGGATAACAGAACAAAACGAAACAAAACCGTGGGACGAAAATTGTCAATTTTTGCAAATACAATAACAAATTTTTACACATTTTTATGTTATGTATTTTATTTAATGTCTTTGAATTGCTACTTATGTTGCCTCTGACGCTGCTACTGATTCCTTTGTGGAAGACGTGAGTCTGTGCTTTACAATTAAGCTAAACAAATTTTAATATGAAACAATTGACAGACAGACGGGGACGCTTTACTAGAAGCGGGCGAAAAGCAACAACAACCACACACTAGTGAGCGAATTGAAATATACAACAACAATAAGAGAAGCGTTTTGTTGCTAGTATAACAAAAGGGATTACGTTGCTTTTTTGTATTTTGCTGCGATGCGACTGCGACTACTTCGACGCCGCTTTGATGAACGACGGGCGCGCCGTTAAACGTTAAACGCGAAACTGCTTTGGGGCGAAAATTCCCGTTGCCGGCGTTGGCGTCGGAAGTTCTATGACACTGAACCCTCGAGGCGAGGCGGCAAATGCTGGTCCACATGATAAAACAATATGCGGCGCCGAAACCCACGGACCTGCGCATAGGGGTAGGTGCTGTGGGTTGGCACGGGACTCTTACCTTAGCTGTGAGGACACCCTGGTCATATAATGGCGGAAAATTTAAATGAACAATGTATTGAAACGCAGCTCCTCGTCCGCAGAGCATTATGGTGCAACAACTTGCTGCCAGTCTGGTTAGATTTCGAAATCGCAAAATCGCTTTTACGTTTGAAAAGCCGACGATCGTTGTTGGATTTTGCAGATATCGATGCCGTCCAACATCGATTGCTTGATGCAGTTGTCATCGAGTATCGACTAGAATTATGACAGTAGAGGTGGACAAGCATCGATGTTTACAGGCATCGATACTATTGATACAATGTTGATTAAAAATAAAGCTCACAAGACTCGATTTATGCTTAGAAACTAAAACTGTTCCATTTCCGAATTAACGAGCTTTTTCTTCTCCACTTACGTATTTCTCTCATATGAAGATAGACGAGACAAAATGTAAAACTTATCATCGATACTCTGCCAGAAAACATCGATGTTTTTCATCCCTGGGGTTACATGTATGAAAATTGAGCGAGGTTCAAAACTGTGCCCAAAAGCAAGAAAATTTACTTAAAATATGCTAGTTTTCTTTGATAAAACTTACTAATTAATTGGCGGTTTTCCCTCTTTCATTATTTTACCCCCAAACAGCAATATCCTTACAATGGCACAATTTTAGGATTTCTGGCGGATCGTTAAATTTTCCCAGAAGTCTGGATTGCAACCGATAAAATTCCCGTTTCAGGAGAAAGGTTTATTATTAAAAACTATGGGGAAACACAACAGAAACAATTTTTTTGTTTACCCTCCCTTGACAGAATTGAAGGAAATTATGACGTGGGCATAAACATAAAGCAACTATATAATTGCTTTTTGGACGTGGGTATCCGAAAAACCCGTTGCTTGGCACGTACACGCTCTGTAACGTATGTATGTATGGATGCCCGTTCTCTAGATGCATACACACAAGCATGAAGAAACTATTTAAGGAGGTCTCGTCTAATTATTATATCTTGAGTATTTTTGTTTTCTTAAAATATAATCATTATTGATTGAGTAGTAAAATATAACTCCAAATTAATCATTATATTGTGAGTATTTCGATATTACTTGAACACACTCAAATCATGGTGGATATGCATAGATTATACTTTAAGATGAATATGTATGTATATGCACATGTACGCCAGCCTAAAATTTTCCACAAGTGAATGATTTTTTTATTTAAAAAATTACAAATAATCATTATTTACAGTCCCTGGTGTACGCAAGGGTTAATATGTGAGAACTCTAATGGTGCAAAAACAAAACGAAGGCAACCGACGATACCTCCTTATAACGTTGCTTCATGCGAGCGATAAGCCAAAACATAAAGTCGTGGAAACCGTTCTGTCGGTGCACATAACGCTTTGAGCGAGTCTTCGACGCAGACCCACAGCAGCAGACGACTAAACGTAGCAGAACGAGATAGAGAGCGACACAGCGAGCGAAGCACACACGCGAATATCAAGCACAAAGAGAAGCGCGCAACACGTGAGAACGGTGAAAGAGAAGGAACACATCAGAGAGACAAATTTAATTTAATTCGAATTAATCAAGAAACATAAAAACTGAAGCAAGAAATATGACAACTACATCCAGTAAGTGTGAAATCCATACATATCGCTATACATTCATGTGTATGAAACCATTAATCTCACAGTTGATGGCTACAAGCTTGGAAAGGTGCTGATCGAGGGGAAGACCAAGCTAGTGTACGACCTGCCCGAGCATCCTGGACTTTGCCTGCTGCTGAGCAAGGATCGCATCACTGCCGGCGATGGTGTAAAAGCCCATGATTTGGCCGGCAAGGCGGAGATCTCGAATACCACCAACGGCCAGGTATTTCGGCTGCTCAACGAAGCTGGTGAGTTCCGTCCCGTCCCCCAAATACCTCAGCTTTGTGTATTTTGTGGAATTTATGTGAAACATTCAAAATTCAATAGGTATACGCACGGCCTATGTGAAGCATTGCGGGGCTAAGGCCTTTATTAGCCGCAAATGTGAGATGATACCCATCGAGTGGGTAACCCGACGCCTGGCCACTGGATCGTTCCTCAAGCGCAATGTTGGCGTACCGGAGGGCTACAGGTTAGTGGCATTAATGACGAGGTTATCGGCACTCCATCGATCCCAGTCGAGGCCGCCGATCAACCATCATTGACGTTTGACGCTGTTGCCGCCTGCGGTAAACAAATTTAACTGCAATCGAAGCACTGCATTGAGGTCAACGACTACGCCTGTCCCGATAAGCATCTGTTTGCCCAGCCATCCCCATTCCCCGCATCACGAATAGCATTGCAAAAGTAATCGAAAACCATTCCTAATGCAATTCGTTGCCAAGTTTCGTCAGAAGAATGTCAACTTCAAAACTGAATGCAAAGCAAAGCATTCCTCCCACTTCCTGAAAGTTAATCACGATCAACCTTTGTCTTGCTAGATTCTCACCACCCAAACAGGAGACATTCTTTAAGGACGACGCCAACCACGATCCCCAGTGGAGCGAGGAGCAAATAATCGCAGCTAAATTTGAGCTCAATGGCCTGTCAATTGGTAAGCAATCTGAAGCACAGCCGTAACTTATCATCATCTTTGAATCAACAGGCCAGGATGAGGTGGACATTATGCGCCGTACGACACTGCTGGTTTTCGAGATACTGGAACGGGCCTGGCAGACAAAGAACTGTGCTCTGATCGACATGAAGGTGGAGTTTGGCATCGATGCCGATGGCAACATTGTGCTCGCCGACATTATAGACTCTGACTCGTGGCGACTGTGGCCAGCGGGCGACAAGCGCCTGATGGTGGACAAGCAGGTGTATCGCAATCTCACATCGGTCACGTCCAGTGACCTTGACACGGTGAAGCGTAACTTTATCTGGGTGTCGGAGCAGCTGGCTGATATTGTGCCGCGCAAGGATCACCTGGTGGTGGTGCTCATGGGTAGTGCCTCGGACACATCGCACAGCGAGAAGATCGCCACCAGCTGCCGCTCCCTGGGCCTCAACGTGGAGCTGCGCGTTAGCTCTGCGCACAAGGGACCGGAGGAGACGCTTCGCATTGTCCGAGAGTACGAGTCGGTGATGAACAACCTTATCTTTGTGGCCGTGGCCGGACGCTCCAATGGTCTGGGACCTGTCGTATCGGGCAGCACCAACTATCCAGTGATCAACTGCCCGCCCGTCAAGTCCGACAATATGCAGGTGGATGTCTGGTCTAGCCTGAATCTGCCCTCGGGACTTGGCTGTGCCACCGTCCTCTATCCGGAGGCGGCGGCCCTTCATGCCGCCACAATTCTGGGTCTAGGCAACTTTATGATCTGGTCCAAGCTGCGCGTCAAGGGCCTCAATAATTTCATCACTCTCAAGAAGGCCGATAAGGAGCTGCGCGGTGTTCGCAGTGCCTAAGTGAGCGAGCCAGCTTTAACAACATTTCCATTCCGTTTCTCCTTCGTTTTGCATTTTTTCGAATCTTTTTTGTTTTGTATACCCTTTTCTTACTTTTCTAGTAATAGGCATAGCATGACTCGTCCTAGGGATACCCTGTGTAGTCGTAGGGTATCAAGAATTAATAAAAACAAATCACTAAACAATAATTATGTTAGCTATTCATTTAATTTAAGTTTAACTAAGTACATTTTTTGGTTTTTTGAGTATCGAAGTACTCGCTTTCGTGGTCTCTTGCAGACCTGCATGCTGTCAGTAAATAATACAATTAACTTAAAATTTATTCAACATTTAGCACGCAATTATTTTTGCTGTAATGTGCTCTGTGGTGATGAGGCCAAATGATACCCAAAGATATTGGGCTGTCGGAAGCGCACTTTCTTCACATTCAACTCTAATAAAGCGCAAAAAGCCTAAAAGTCGCGAACAGGCAATCTGGATCCACATCGACTATCTCAACCAGTACCTGTTCCTGGGCCTGCGACTGTACCGAAATGAAAAGTTTAGTTTAATATCTAAAATCATCAATTTTACCCTTTACCCTTTCTCATGGCTTAGCTTTCGCCTATCCTAGTTATATGTATGTATATTCGTTTTGGTTCTCGGATTTGTGTCAACGAAAAATTAACACAGTTGTGTAAATTGAATTGAATGGAAAAATCCTAGAAGAGTGTAGAATTCAAAGATGTTTGCACTCTTTCAATTCTCTTTTAGAGCAATAAAACACACGGCCAGTTCAAAGGCTATAAATATTACACGTATGTACACAATACATCAATGTATATATACGAAAAGTATATAGAATATATATAAAATATTATTATCAGTATAGTACAGTGCGCTTAGGCTAGACGAAAAAGAGTAGGAGGAGAAGGAGGAGCAATGAGGCTGAAAAAAAGCGACAGAGAGAGAGAGACAACACAGAGGGGACGAAGGGGTGTGTAAGCTGTTGGTTGGTTCTTCGATCAATCAATTCGAGATGAGTATATTTGGCTCGATGGAGTGCAAGACATTGAATCCCTTGTGTAGGATGCAAGTGCGTTGGACGCCGCAGGCCACCAGAAAGTTTGAGAACTGTAAAATGAAAAGAAAGGAAAGGAAATGAAAAGAGTTTTCGTTGCGTGATGCGGTTTACTCACCTCCACTGCATTCTGATGAATGTTGCTCACACAAACAACAATCCGCCCGCGTAGTTGTGCCTCCAGTTGTGGAACATTAAGCGCCTCCAAACGCTGCTCGCCAAGCTGTACCGTGGCAAACGGTATGTTAATACTATGCGGCACATGCACATGTCCGTAGTCCACCACGCTCCGCAGATCGATGAGTGCCAGATCGGAGGGGGAATGAAGCAGCAAGTACTGCACATCTTTGGCACTGATGCGGGGACACTGCTCAAGCTGCAGATGCTTTAGCTCCACATCAGTTAGGCCAATATCCTACGAACGAAAAAAAAGATTCGGTCAGACGATTGACTTGGTTGTAAATCGAAGCTAAATAAAACAAACCAGAGACTGGGGCGGCTGGGAACGCAAGGCGTGCTGGCGGTGCGTTATGCTCTTTGGCGTCGCCTCGTACATTTTCTGGGACTCGATCACACAGGCCTCCATCACGATATCGGGCAGATCGGAGAAGAGCAGTATGCACTCGTTGAAGCCCGAATCGAGCAGCGTGCTCCTTAGCTGGCGCAGAATGGCGATGCCGATGAACAGCGGATACGAGCTATCGCCCAGCATCAGTTTGTCCCACAAGTGAAGGATCTTGTGCAGCGGAAACACATCTACAAAAAGGAAGATTCAGCAAAGATAGATAAGGAGACTGAGGGCAGCTCACGAGAGAACATGGTGAGAAACCAGGGAATGGCAAAGAGCTCTGGAATGAAACTGATGCTGGACAAATGCTGGGCAAGGAGCGGCTCATGGTAGGATGTTAGCTGCGAGAACTTGCTGAGATACTCCTTGATGATGGCCGAATTATCCTTGAGGAAGAACCAGTGCAAGTATTTCGGTATGAAGCGGAAAAGACTCAAAAATGCCAACTCTGTAAGGGAAAACCCTTTGATCACACGACATCTTGGGTATCCTCATGGCAGATCCAACACTCACCCTCATTGTTGAAGTTCAGATAGAGAAAGGGCGCCGTGAGCGAGTCCAGGCCCTGCCAGTAGACATACTGTGGATGGGCCGTCACCCAGGCCTTGAGCAGTCGTCGCAACTTCCGGTGGCCGTCGGGCGATGACAAGAGCTCGTCGTACTGATGGCATCGGGGTATGTCCACCTCGATCTGCCTGTCCGTGTACGTTGGCGTGAATTTGTCAATCTTCCCGTAGCCGCTGTTGGGCACCACCTCCAGCAGTGCCGCCCAGACGGCACCACGCAGCAGCGGCGGAATATCGATGGCCGCCTCACGCTGCAACAGTTCGGCCGTGTACGGATAGGCTTGCAGCAGGCGGGCAAATAGGCGAACGCGATGGAACTGGTACTCAATGTCGCGCTCTCGTATCACCAGCGGCAGTAGTTGCAGCTCAAGGACGAACCGCTGATGCTGGGAGGAGAAGCGTGGCGAGTGGAGCAGCGGGAAGTAGACACTGGCCGGCAGCTGGCTGAGACGCTGCAGCAGGGCGTGCATCTTGAGCGGCACCACTCGGTCGTCCATCAGATGCGACTGGCTGCGAGTCGGACAGACGCTGGCACCGTTCAAACGCACAATCTGCGGCAGGCCCAGAATGGGCGCCTCGCTGCGGATGAGGCCCTCCTTTTTGAGCTCCGCCTGAACATCGCCACCGGCCAGCTGCCACAGGTGATAGATTTGCGACAGCGGACACCGCAGCAGCAGCGGCAGAGGCGGCAGATGGGACTTCAGCTGCTGCTTAGACTCATCTTCTTTTGCCTTCTCTCGCTCCTGCTCCCGGTCTGCCTGCAGGATGTCCGCGAAGCATTTGTGGGCAAGCAGCTCCCTGGGCAGTGGCCGCTGGCCGGGACTGGCATGGAGACATTTCTCCAGCAGCTGCCGCAGCTCTGCGTCCATGGTCTGGTAGGCCTCGAAGCACTGATGCTCGCGGGCGATCTTCTCCAGCACATTGTTGCTCCTGGCGAAGGCGAGTATTTTGCGGACTACGTTGGATATTTTTAGCTTTGGCCAGAGCTGCAGATCCAGCACCAGCTCCACCAACAGCATGGCCAGCGCCCATACATCGCTCTTGACATTGCCATTGAGTCCAAGCAGTCGTTCGGGTGCCATGTAGCGTATGTTGCCCACGGGAAAGGGCACATAGGCACCGCCCTTGGTCATGAAATAGAGTCCGTAGTTGAAGAGCTTCAGTCTTCCATCCGGTCCGATGAGAATGTTCTTTGGCTCCAGATTGTGGGCCACCAGATAGTGCTGGCTGAGGACATTGATGCCGCAGGCCACCTGGTAAAAGATGCGCAAGATTTGTGCGAGACTGAGCGGGGGATTTCGCTTCACATGCTCCTCCAGGGAGCAGCCCACATACTCCGATACGACAATGGTGCGTTCTGAAAAGAATCTCCATGTGAGTCTAGAGATATACAAAAGGTTGCTCGGGCGTTTTCTTTGTTACCATGCTTGCCGCGAATGACGTCCAGATACTGGCACAGGTGCTCATCTTGAACCTCTTTCAACCGCTGGGCACGCCCCAGAATCGCTATCGAATTGGGGGTGAGCGGCAGGCCATTGCTGCCGCAGACATCGCCCGGATGCAGTTTCGCAAAGAAGGTGACGGCGCACAGGCGTGTCTCGGGTTTGATGGCCATTGATGAGGGGGTGGGCAGATGAATGGCTGACAGAAACCGAGTTCCTTCCTTCCGCTCTCGCTCTTTCTCTCTTACGGTGTTGGTGGGCTCAATTTTAAGCCTGCATCGGCAGCAACAATTATTTGGAAACAGAGTCCGGTCCGCAGAGCGAACAGCTGTTGGCGTTGCCACCCCGGACATACGCCCCCTGCTTTCGCAATAACTTCGAAAGCCGCCGATTGTGCTAACATTTCAAAAGTCATATGGAAAATGAATGGGAGTCAACCAATCAATATCAAAATTTGCGTATTAATATACCATACAGAAATAATTAAAAATTCACACCAATATTAGCAAACTATCAAATTTAATCAAATCTGACATGGAATTTGCGTGCCAATGGTTTCCACCCATCTGGCCACTATGCACAGCTGTGGACACTGTCCAGCACTGCATTTAGTTTGCTCTTATAGTTGCGTTCATGAAGTAACTATATAAGGAGGTCTCGTCGGCAAAAATTAGGCAAACGTGCGAGTGAAAGGTGCGAGGGCAACGACAATGGAGTGTGCTGAATAATCATTTCATGTCATGAAGTAACTATAAGGAGGCCTCGTCGGTGGCAGAGTTACTCGTTGCTTTTCCTAATTTTCAGTGCTCGTTTGCTTGTCGACGCGGAAGGTTGGTTGCGGACAACCTTTATTTTTTAATTTTTTCAAAATGTTTATTCATATTATGAAGCAAACTATTAAAAATTAAATTATGAAACAATTATTATGTTTTTTCACATTGCCTTCAAATGATTATTCAGCACACTCCATTGTCGTTGCCCTCGCACTTTTCACTCGCACGTTTGCCTAATTTTTGCCGACGAGACCTCCTTATATAGTTACTTCATGCTTCATGGATCATGGTTGTGTTGTTGTTGTTGTTGCGCTGAATTAACTTTTATTGCGCACTCGAAATTGTTTTCATTTGCTTGCACCGAACATGACGCTCTCCAGTTGTAAATTCTGACCAGTTAGGCTGCGTCGGTCGTCAGTAACGCCGAACAGGCTAGCGGGTACCATCATTTGCCGCGCACCATTTGAGACTGTCATTTCAGTTTGCACTGATAACATCTGACTACGGCTCGGATTCGACCCAGAAAATATGTCGCTGCTGGTGGAGTACACAGATCCGGAGTGGCGCGGTCTAAACATGCGCACCCTTGGCGTCGACCAGGCCTACATGTACCTGCGGTCGGAGTATGCTCAGCACAGTTTTCTCTATACGCTTTCCGACGAATGCTATACGGTAATTTTCGAGTAATTTGGTTCGGTTTCACTCTTGAATCGATGAGAATTAATGAAATCGAAATCTTCTCGATCTCTACCCCTCCCCACTTCAACAAAACGTAACAGTGCCCCTACACCAAAGTGAAAGCTCTGCCCGCCGCTGGCAGTGGACAGCAGTTGCAACCGTTACAGCTGAGCACGGCGTACGCTTTGAATTTCAAAATCTTTCAACACGATCAGGGTCGCTATGCATTCGAGAATGTGTAAGTACACCACACAAACATACATATGTATGTATATGTGTGCTCTTTTTTATAGCATATGTTGGTTTCCCCCGTTAACCAGTCGTTATGTAACGCTATTGCTATAGCTTATTGGTAAGCAGCTAAGTAACTAGTGCAGCGCTGTCATGGGTTGACTGCCTACTGGTAGGCAGTCAAGTAACTAGTGCCACTCTGCGTGGGCGTTTAATCAATATTAATTATTTGAATATAATATATCTGAAATAAGATTGCCAAGTACCCAAAGAGGAAATTTAATAAATGTATGCGAAAGACAGATTTTAAATAAAGTTGAAACACGGCTCAAAAAAAACGAGAAGGGACGTGTGAGACGCTTCTTACGCGTCACAACTTTTATACCCGGCACTCAGTACTACATCTGCACCTTAGCGGTGTTTTGTCAAATTTCACATTTTTTCTTCATCTGTCATCTACATCTACAACACTTCTCACACCAACACGCTCATTTAGCTCGCCGCCCTTTCCTAGACCCACACACTGCAGACTCGCGGCAGAGGCAGCGCCCGCACACAAAAAAAAAACCAAATATAAGCTGTGGGACGGGGTGGGTTAAAAGTTGGTAGAGGCAGAGGCAGTGGCAGAGGGAAGGCCGCTTGAAGCAGAAGCAGAGCGTGAATGAGGGAATGTGAAAATAACACCAAAAGCTGCGGGACAGGGTGGGTTTAGCCACGGCAAATTAATATCTTCATTCTGGCTATAATAATGATCCAACCGGATCCCAATTTATTGATCAGATATATATGGCAATTCCCTACGGAATGGCGTTTTTAGTTTTCTTTTATCTTCAAAATTGTTGATTTGGGACGTTTTCGGCTTTTTGCGAGGGCGGAAGGGGGCGTGGCTCATTTTTAAAGTACACTTGTAAAAGTGTGAGCATACAGAAGTCTGGATGTAAAATTTGGTGTCTCTAGCTTTTATGGTCTCTGAGATCCAGGCGCTCAACAAGACGGACGGACGGACAGACAGACATGGCTCAATCGACTCGGCTATTGATGCTGATCAAGAATATGTATACTTTATGGGGTCGGAAGCGTTTCCTTCTGTGTGTTACATACATTCACTTCGTGCACAAGTACAATACACCCTATTTACTCTTCGAGTACCGGGTATAAAAAAAATAAATAAATAAAATTAATTGTGTGTGTACTTGTGGCACTTGACGCGATTGTCAAAGTGTTATCAAACCATTTAATATAATTCCCTGCCACTCCACATACTGCAAAAGCTCTTCCCTCTGCTGGCTGCGCCGCACCGATCTGCAGGAGTTCGGCGTCTACAATCTGACGCTCCTGGCCAATGGTAGCTGCGACTTTGCCGTGGACAAGCCGGGCGTGCCCATCAACTATGGTGAGTGTGTACCCCTGGGCCACCGATCGTAAAATTGAAGCTGTGGTCTCTTTTGCAGCATTCCTCTCCGTGTTCGTGCTGGTGGCCGCAGTGCTAATCCTCCTGAAGCTAGGAAGCTACGCCTGGCGTTGCCATCGCTACGATGAGGCTGCTGCCGCGGCGGACAGCATTGGGGCCGCTGCCGCAAAGGCAACGCAACGCAAGCGGATGCGAAGTCTGGACACGTTCCGCGGGTAATTTTTGGAGCTGCCATGGAAGACGAAATATTTACTCATCCTGCTTTTGGCTGCCCTTCCACAGGCTGTCCATTGTATTGATGATATTCGTGAATAGCGGGGGCGGTGGGTATGCGTGGATCGAGCATGCCGCTTGGAACGGACTGAATCTCGCCGATCTGGTCTTTCCCTCCTTCCTGTGGATCATGGGCGTCTGCATACCCCTCTCGGTCAAGGCGCAACTATCGCGCGGCAACAGCAAGGCTCGCATTTGTTTGCGCATCCTGTGGCGCTCCATCAAACTCTTTGCCTTCGGCCTTTGCCTCAACTCGATGACCGGTCCCTCGCTGGAGCAGCTGCGTCTGATGGGTGTGCTGCAGCGTTTCGGGATTGCCTTCCTTGTTGTCGGCATCTTGCACACCCTCTGCAGCCGTCGGGAGCAGGTGCTGCCGCAGAGTGCCTGGCATCGTGCCATCTACGATGTCTGTCTATTCAGCGGGGAGCTGGCCGTACTGCTGGCCCTGATCGCCGCCTATCTCGGCATGACCTTCGGCCTGCCTGTGCCCGGCTGTCCGCGCGGCTATTTGGGGCCCGGCGGCAAGCACGATCTGGCTGCCCATCCGAACTGCATTGGCGGTGCCGCCGGCTATGTGGACCAGCAGGTCCTGGGCAATGCACACATCTATCAGCATCCCACGGCCAAATATGTCTACGATTCCAGTGCCTTCGATCCCGAGGGAGTCTTTGGTAAGCCTTTGGTCTCCAATCGCTTCAGAACTTTCTTCAATAATTCCATCTGTACTCACGCAGGCTGCCTGCTTAGCATTGTTCAGGTATTTTTGGGCGCCTTTGCCGGTCTCACGCTGCTCGTCCATCCCACCTGGCAGAGCCGCATCAGACGATGGCTGCTCCTCTCGATTCTCCTGGGACTCATGGGCGGTGTCCTGTGCGGCTTCTCCCGTGAGGGTGGCGTGATACCCGTGAACAAGAACCTCTGGTCACTCTCCTTTGTGTTTGCTACCGTCAGCGTGGCGCAGCTCCTGCTTGTCCTGCTCTACTACATCATCGATGTGGGCGATGGCTGGTGGTCGGGCTGGCCCTTCTCCGAATGCGGCATGAATGCCATCATCATGTACGTGGGCCATTCAGTACTGCACAAAATGTTACCCTGGCACTGGCGTATCGGGGCCATGAACACCCATTTTGTGCTGCTGCTAGAATGCACGTGGAACACGTTCCTGTGGGTGGGCATTGCCCTCTACCTGGACGCTCATGAATTTTACTACAGTTTGTAAAAAACATTCGATTTTATAGCTTAATCTTGTCCCACTATGTACAATAAATGTAAAACTGTTCTGTTTTTTATGTCAATCTGCAAGAGTGTAGGCAAGTTTGGGCTTCGATTTGCGGACGAGTGTGTCTGAAAAGTTCACAGCAGAGCCAGAAAGAGATGGCACTCTATATTTGTTGTGTTTTTGCACACTGACAACTGCTGTAAACAGAGTAAATGTGGTGCTGGACTCCATTCTATTACTTAAATTCCCTTGGTCTGGTTCACTGTTTATACTTTCGAGTTAAATTCGTAGTAATTTCTCAAGTTTAATGGAGCAGGGCTCGGCACGCATAGTTCGCGTTTCGTTTTTTTGTTTGTTTACGGAGACATCACGCAATTAGGAACCCTGAAATACATTGGTATTGGCTCCAAGGCTTGGAAGTCTCAACTTTCCTCGTTGGCTGTATGTGGAAATCGTAAAATAAATGCAAACTGTTGTGATTTTATTTTGGAAATGTTTTGTAATTTTATTTCTTAGGTTTAGAAAACAAAAATTTTGCCAAATTTAACGCTCTATTATTCTCTCTTCCTTTTCTTTTGTTTGTTTTTCGTTATTTCGAGGCTCATTCCTAAGGCTACATTTGTGAGTGGGTGGTGAGGGGTGCGATTGCTTTCTTTCTCGATTGAGGATCGGGGATCCCTTTTTATCTCTCTCTATCTCTATCTGTATATCTATATCTCTATCTCTCTCGACTACATACTACTAGGGCACTGCACTACTACATACACATCAGAACTACTAAGAACATATGTCTATATCTAAATATATTTATATCTATATTAAATGCTGTACGTCTTCTCCAAAAAATGATTGCAGCAGCGAAACAAACAGAGACGTTTTTCTCCAAGGTACACCACTGTCCAAAACGGGATAGCAAACACCTACCGCCTAAATAACGGTATTCAGCCTGCACCTGGCTTTGGAGGAGCAAGCGAGATGACTACGATGCGCTGTGTAGTACAGGCGAGGCGGCTCCGTATCAAATAAGACAACAAATTATTAGGAAAAAATACAATATCTGAGAGAGGTCCCAAAATCTTATTTACATAAACTAAATACTATTTTAAGGTTTTTGCATATATTTCCAGGGGGTGAGGGGCTGGGCGATTAGCTGAGTATTCTCTCCAATTAGTTTGCCAGCGAAAAAGTTGATAAATCATATTTAAAACAAAATGTAAAAAAAACCTATTCTTCGACGCAGCAGCAGCATCCATTCATCGTTGTTTATCTGCATGAAAATATGAAATATGAATATGAATATGCTTCCCGAAAGCCCCACCGCATGCGGCATATGTACAAATGATGTGCTGTGGCGTCTTTCAATCTCTCAATAATAAATATATAAAAGTAAATCTTTTCGCCGTTTCTTACGATATGTAAAATATGAAAAAAAAGTGATGCAAAACCACCAAGTCCCATCACCGCAATTCCTGCGCCGCCTCCTCCGTCACTCTCTCTCTCTCTCTCTCACTCTCTCACTCTCTCTCTCTCTCTCTCTCTCTCTCTCTCTCTCTTTTAGATCTTTGCATCGGCGGAGTGTGGAGGTGGAGTGGTGGCGACCACTGCCTGACCAACAAATTTAGCCGGCTTAACGAGTATAAACTTGGGATTGGCCACAGTGGCTACGGTGGCACCGTTTTTGGCCGGCGTTATGGTCACCGTGCTGGGGGCTATGGCATTCATGGCTGCCGTCTGATTGCTGGCAGCCAAAGAGGAGGCCGGCAGTATGGTGGTTACCCCATTCTCATGCTGTATGGTGTTGGCATTATTGAATATTGCACGAATCTTATTACTATTCCCCTGAGATCCGCCAACGACATTGATTTTCAGTGCAGTTCCAGCGACGACGACTTTCTCTCCAGCGGCGACTGACACCTCGGGCGACTGCTGACGCTGCTGGACAATTCGGGCGGTGAATTCATTGCCGGCCAGCACTAGATTCTGAGTCTGGCCAGTTATAGGCAGGCCGCTGGCCAGAATTAGTTGCATGCCACCTGCGACTGCTGTGGTTGCGCGCTGCTTCAGCTCATCCGTGGGCGGACTGACGCTCGATTTGCGCTCGAGAACATGTTCATCGAAGCCAGAGTCCGAAGAGTTGTCGTTGAATTTGGTGTTCACCGACGACGAAGTCGAGCAGTTGGACGACGAAGATAGCGACGAGGGTGAAGCTGCGCCCATGGATGTAGTGGTCATACCCGGATGGAGGCTCGCGGTGGCCATGGCCGTATTGGAATGTGACAGAGGCAGAGCCATAGCCGTGGCATCAGTCTTGTTCAATGGAATGGGACTTATTCTATGGATATCGCCCTGTGGAAATGACTCCGACTGACGTTTAAAGAACAGATGATGCTTCTTCATAGCTTGCATCGGATTTGCCACAATATTTCCTTGCTTCTGAGTTTGATTTTGAGATGGAGCTTCAATCGCAACTGCTGGCTTGGCAACGCTGGCGGCGGCTGCCATCTCCGCCTGCTGACGCCTGAGCCGCTGATGCTTCTCGCATGGCTTGTACAGCATCGGATCGATTATGTAGCAGCACATGCCCAGAGTCAGACTCTGGAAGACTGTGCCGCAACAGACCTCCAAACGTATCAGATCGCTCTCCTCGAAGAAGGGCACATTGTCGACGGCGCGTCGATGCTTCTTGGGCGCCAGTTGGCAGCGTCGCTTGCTGCCAGTGAGCTTCGGTCGCTTGCTGTTTTGGCCCTGCTCGGCGAGGGCTGCCTGTGAGGCGGCAGCCGTGCGCTTTCTGGTCTGATAGGGGGCCGCCATAATCGCTGGAGCCCCTCCACCACCCGTAGTCAAGGTGGCCACAGGTAATTGCTCATCTTCGTTGCTCTCGTTCGAGTCGCTCTGCTGGTGCTGAGACATGGGCGAAGAACTGCTGGGACGTGGATGGTCTCTGGCTACTGGCTCAGCTGCCACGGCTCCTTGAATGGCCGTTATCTTGCCCTTGCGATTCTTCTTAAAGATCTTTGCAAACTTCTCGGGTATAAAGGAGCTGCCGCTGGAGCCGCCACCTCCTCCTCCTTCGCCGGCGTTCTCTGCGTTTTCGCGCTTCTTCTGCTTCGCCATGGACTTGGTGCCGTGACCAGCTCGGGCATCCACAACCTGAATAAGCGAGAAAGAGAGCATTAGCATAAAGATTATTTATCGTGGTAGGCTTTTGTTGGCACTTACATGACCCCAATGGCGCTTGCTGCCAGCGGGCAGACGTTTGAAGCGCTTCACCAGCAGCACGCACGCGTTGCAGATCTCGCCATTGCGCGGCTCCTGCAGATTGAAGCACAGCACCGATTCCTTCTCGTACTTGCGGGAGGCCGTGAAGCGGGAGCTGCTCGACTTGGCGCGGCAGATGCAACAGCCGTCGGTGGAGCGGTAAACGCGTGGTTTATGGAAGCTAAACATTTTTGTTGCTGTTTCTCCTTTACTTGTTGAAAATAAAGGCGTTGATATCCTTCCTATCTCTGACGTATGTTGAATGATTTCTGGAAGTTTTTCTTTTTGTTGTCCTACTGTGTTGTAAGTATTTGTGTGTGCCTCTGTGGGTTGCGGATTGTAGATTGATTTGTGCGTCCTTGCGCTTTCTTGTGTATATATATATGTGTGTGTGTGTGTGACTGTTTATGTGGGAGTGTGTGCATTCACAGAAGAGTTGTTAGTGTTATTTCTTGGCGACCATTGGATTTATACTGATGATTCGTAGCACAGCCAACAGCCATTTCTTGCGATTAACTGTTGTTTGCTGCATTTGTGACCTTTTATCCTTCGTCTTCGTCGTCGTATTAGGCGATTTGATCTAAACAACAGAGTGAGAACCGAGAATTCAAGTTAAAAGCGGTTAAAATATTAAAACATATGATCATACAGCAGCAGTGTTGACTAACGCTGGCACACAGCTGACAGCTGGCAACGCTGCTTTCTTTTCATTATTCTGCTCAGCCTGTGCATGCGTCGCTTTATTACAACCTAAAATGCAATTCCAATTCAAAATGAAATTCAACGCCAATCGACAAATCTTTTTACAATGCTTCCGTTTCGAAAACCGGTTCGACCCGAAAGGCTTAAAGAAATGTCTTATCAACATTCATTAAGTAGTATTTATTTGACGCGGTGTTAATTAAATTTAGCAAACATGTTTTAACAGCAATAAGATCAATAGGAGTAAGCGGGCGAGATAGCTAAGCCACGCGCGCGTTCAAATACACAAACACATACAAATGTATGTATATCTGAAGCGCAATTTTCGTTGCCTGGCAATACCACTTCTGTACGTGTTATTGCAAGTTTTTGGGGACGCGCGCCGCATAAACAAAACACAGAGCGAAAAAGGGACACACGAACAAACACACACACACCTACACAGATAATTTAAAGCGCGCTCTCTCGTTGCACTCGCAGCGAATGAAGTGACTTTTGATTCGGCTGGCGGCTAGGCCTCCCCCCCCCCCTTCCTCATCCAACTCTTAACCAACGGTTGATGTTGTTTTTGGAAAACTGATTTTCTTTTGAGTACAAAAGTGCGTGAGCGTCTATCTACGTGTATGTGTGTGCACCGGCTTAGCATTTGTGTGTGTGCATAAGTTGAGCATTTTTTTTCGATTGCTTAAATGCTTGAAATGAATGCTTTTTTACGTGCGATTTTCGAAGTTGAAAATGCATTCACAGGTTTCCTAACATTTTCTTGTTGCTATTATTAACACACACAGCTGTCTGTACCCCCTCCTCCCACTGACAAAGTGCTTTTTACCTGACTTAACAAACGATCGGCTTTCTGCTAAATGCGGCGATACTTATTTTTTACACAAAACACTTAAGTACTTTTCGGGTTAGCGGGAATAATGCGAAATATACAACATATGCGCGGCGGTACGAGGAGCTCCGGGTAAAACGCGTCTGCACACAAGAAACACAAAGGCAAAATGACGAGGAAGTGTGTGCGAGTGAGAGATTGGGCAGCGCAAAGCGAATGCAGTGATAACGCAAGAGAGCAGCTGAGTCGTGTATATCTCTCCGTCTCGCTTCTACTCATGAGCAGTGCGTGGTCGTGTGTACGTGAGAATGCGCGTAGCGAAAATTCCGGTTGTATTTACAGCGACCACAGATACAGATAGAGCAAGACAGCACCGGTCAGAAAGAGATATAGAAAGAGCCGAAACAAGAGGGCAATAAAAACAACAATTTGCATAACATTCACTGTCGGCGGGAGGCGTACACAGAGTTGCCACCTGGCAGATTCAAAATGTTAATTGAGAAAAATTGAGTTCGGCTGCGCTCTGTGCTGTTGTCGTTCTTCCCAGGGTTCTGATCCAGCAATTGCTTTCGCTTTCATTGTATCTTTTTGCTGTTTTGCATTGTTCCGGTAAGGGCGAAACGTGCACAAAGCGAACGAACAGAGCAACAACCTCAGCGCAGCTACAAACATATATGAATATTGGTGTGTGGCTGCCCCCTCCCTTGCAACACAACACCAACGTTGGAGCACATTGGCTGTGTCATACGTGACAAACCAGCCATTAACACAGAATATCGCCTCTCTAGCATGGGTCAAATATGTATACAATGTCTGTAAGTAATTAGTGTAGTACAGTGGCAACGCTGCTGCCGCTAAGCAGCTGCGTTCGACGTAACCGCTTTACAACACTGACCTCGTACTGTTGTCCAAGCTGCGAAAATGCACCACATTCTTGTTGTTTTTGTACGATGGGGCGAAAGTGGCTGAAAAAACATGTGTTCGTGTGTGTGGATGTGCTACGTGCCTGTTGGGGCACACGCACAACCGAAATCCAACAGAAAAGGAGGCCAAAATCTAGGTCGTCGCTGTCCGCATGGCTCTGAGATGCCAGCAAGTGGCCACAAAATTGAAATCAAAACAAAACGCATGACGCACATATGTACACATAAGAGAACAGGCACACGGACAGGCTTGAGTACGCATGTGTTGGTGGGGTACTCGGCTCTTTGGGTATTGCGAATAACAAACTGTACTTGTGCGAAATTGAACGTGCAAAGCAGTAATTGAGCGATGAACGGGACCGGGACTCTCCCAAGGGAACCCTGTGGGGGGCGGGCGGATGGTGAGAGAGAGAGAAGTTTTGTTTATTGTCTTTCACGTATATTTATGTGCATATGTATGTGCACACATTTACACGTATATGGTGCTGGTAAACAAGGTCAACGCGTTTGTGTGACACGCACAAAAATCAACTTTCCTACGTTTTCAGGCCTCTGCGCCGGCAGAAAGTGAAAGACAAGTCGGTAAGTTGTCTTATTGGAATAATCTCATAAGAATGTGAAAAACATCAGCGTAAGCATGAAACAGGTTGTCGGAGCGGGCGTTTAACAGTTATAACACATATTTACGTATACACAAAGAAGCATTGGCACCGGTAAATGGAGTGATAGCGTAATGCAAAATAAAACCGAAATAAAATAAGGAAAAAGAAGTGGCCAATGTTTTGAATAACTATTATTTGTTAGAGTGGCACAGGGACGTGGCGGGTGGAAGCAGTGTAATTGGAAGTAGGTTGTTCGCACACACAAACACACACACAGATATGCAAAACAGTAGCTTTGCGGCAAATACGGCCCGCATTTAAATTTTACTCACTAGTGTAAGAATGTAGTATTAAAGCAAGAAAATAGAATAGAAGGAATAAACGAATACAAAAAAAAAAAAAAAAAAAAAAAACACGACAAGGAGACAGGCGGGCGCTGTTAAGTAATATACTACACTGCGCTCTCTGTGAGATTGTATGGATGTGTGAGCGGGCGAGTGCACGGCTATTGCTGGTGTTTTGCAGAGAAAGCGCGCGCAAAAGTAAAACAAAGAATGGAAAATGCTTTGTGGCACATCTTTTTGACCCTTTCGCTCGTATTTCCTCACAATTACAATCGCCAACGAAATTGTTTCTTCGCTCGAGGCCGCCTCACATTGCCATTGAAGAGTTCAAGAGACAGGCGGCAGCAGATCCATTTGATTATAGCCAAGTGAAGGTCAACAACGCAACAATCAATTTGTTCAAATCGCACCATACACTCTCACAAACACGAGATTGTTTGCATGCTTGCACACATGCACACAATTGATATGTCACAATATTCTGCATCATTTTTTGGGAAGTGCGTATACATATGTACATATGCACGTACATATGTATATATGCATAGTTGAGTATACTATATTTAGCATTTACCTGTTTATTATATTATTGCAGCCTAAACTCTGTTGTATTTGCACCTTTTCACTTTATCAACGTTTGATGGATTTAAAACACCTTAAAATAGTTTAGATTTTTCGGCAAAACGCAACACGATACCGACAGACAGTGTGACCGCGGAATTATCAATTAATTATACCGTCACACCCTCAAAAATATACCATCTCATTTTAAAAATATACCGTAAATACCATAGTCTTAAATCATACTCCTCGATGTTGATGTTCTATTTGAAATTACTAGCTTGCAAAGACTTTTAACACTGAAAAAAATACTTGTTAAAAATACTTCTTTTTATGGATTTGTATACCTTATGACCCTTTATCTTATAAATGTTTCTGTTTGTGTTTGTAATCATTTGGAAAATGTGTGGAAAGTGTTACCTTCTCAAATATACCGTAATATACCGAACAATTGTAAAAATATATCTGTATATACTGATATACCGTAAGTACCGAAAAGTATAAAATATTCCGTAAACGGTCACCCTGAAGACAGATACTGGTATCGCGATGCTAGGGATGGGATGTTACATAATGTTGACATATCGATGTATATTTTGATGTCGCTGGGCTTACCCAGATAGATATATAACTATACCCGAGACTTTTAGATCTCTGTGCATATATTTATTTAAAACAAAGCCATCATATAACAAATATCACATCTCGGCTCAACTGTTGTTCTCAAAATTAAAGGATGAAAGCGCGAAATTCGTTCCGCTTATCGCACAAATATATCGAAAAATGGTTTCTACTTCCCTGAGCATATCGACGACTCGATGCAAATGCAAGTGGAATCAAAAATCGTGGGTATATCTGAAAAAAAAACAGACAAATAGAGGTCTCTTCTGAGCGTAGGTATGATATATCAATATAGATTGTTTTCATTATTGTTACCTTTCATTCCCCAATGATTGTAATTTACCATATTCCATAAGACCAGTAAGCATTAATGGAATCGTGTTTTATGTAGAATTTATTGTTACGGAAGAACTAAAGAAACATAGGAAGTAGGTGGCATAGTGCGCGGGCTGTTTGGCGCTTCAGCAATAACTGCAGCTGCAACCGCAACTGCAAATAGAACAGTGCGTGACTGCAAGCTCCCCAGCTGGAGCTGTATGAATTTGTTAAATCTTTGCTCAGTCCATGGAGTAGGCGTGCAGCTCCAGCCACTGCTCCGCTGCTCCTGAGGAAAAGCCAATCAATCTACTGGGCAAGGGCTTGACATTCAATGGCGGTGGTCTTTGCCTCCGCCCAAAGAACTAATGCCTATCCATGTACCGCCCAATTGTGTGCACTATCCCTGTCCATCAACGAAGCAGTAGTGCTGCTACTGCCACTGTGCGAGATAATGGTCAGCGGCAAGACACTCGGCTTTGTAGATGTCAGCAATAACCAATGGTGAGATGGTAGGGGATGGCCTAAAAAGTATTGAAATGATGAAACGAATCCTAAACGAGACAAGTCACAACTGTGGCCATTGTCAACCTACTGTTCTTCCTTCAGGCTATTGTTTGTTGCGGACGTGGCCCCGCCGCCAGTTGCATATCCGTCGCAGATCTACACGAAATGGAGCCGTCGCAGTACTCCATGAGCTGGTGTTGTGTTGTGTCGACTGGGCCCATCTTGACTTCATGAATGTGGGAATTCTGAAGCGCCACAGTCCACAATCCTTTGCCCTACTTGCTCAAGAACTGCGTGAGTTTCCGACCCGCTAGTTTTCTTTCTTAGCTCCTGTATCAGATGGCTTGCCCCCACAGCAAGGAATCTGAATTTGTTCGTACCATTCTTTCCAAAATTGTTCTGCTTAGTGTAGTGCCCAATAGATTATTGTGTAATATATAATGCTTGGCACGCTTTGACAAAAACGAAATCGCATCTTGCGCAAACATTCGCTCGGCCTATCGCACAAAAAAATCGCATATTTTAGCATCCCTATGCATATCGATTATGCATGGAAGTACAAAAGGACAAATAAATTATGTAGATTTTCCAGATAATCAGGATGATTATGACATAAATGTACTGCAAAAATAAATCTTAATGTAATACAACATACAAATGCACTATCGCCAAAATAACGCATCGATATATTGATACATTTATATAACTATTTTAAAATCCAATTTCTCAGAAATAAGATTGTTAATTTCCAAAATTAAAACATCGTTCTATCGAGTAAATCATATCTAAAATATTAGTAAATCAAAATATCATATATAATTAAGCATTCCAGTCGATATTGGAAAATATCGATTTTGATCGCGCCGATACTATCGTATACAAATTAAAAAATATTATTTATATCGATATAACAACAATCCTTTTACTTATAAAATATTGAAACTTCGAGCGCGGCAGCGCAGGTTGCGAAATGTCAGTAACGAGTTTCTGGTAAAATCTCGCTGTGAAACCGACCGATTTCGTTTCGTTTGTTGTGCGGCTGTTTGGCAAGCCAGTTTTTTTTTTGTGTGTGCCGTTTTTTTTTTCCTAGTGTTTACGACGCGCATGAATTAGTACGCGATCGTTATTGTTTATTTGGATTTACTGTTTGTGCTGCCGCCGCCAGCGTCACCGTCTTAGCCGCCGTCGCTGCCACTGCGCAGACGTCGGGCGGGATTTGTGGCAGGTATATCGTCCGAAAAACCAGCTGAAAGATATACCATTTTGTACTAAAACCATCAAAAACGAAACGTGACTTGTTTATTTAATTGACGTATCAGCAGCAGAAGAAGCGACAATGCCTAGTGATTTTTTTTATAGTTTTCGTTTGTTTGTGGGCGCTGCGCCGCCGCCGTCGCATTTTGTTGTCTCTGGTGGGCACGCGGGTGTGTGTATATGTGCATGATGATGGTCGAGAAAGGAAAGGGACGCTGTGCCGCCACAGTTGTTGATGCGGGGAGCAAATGCGTGCAATTAGCATTCAATGTAATTATTATTAACCATTCAGAGAAATGGTGGTGTCATTGTGAAGAAGAGGGAGAGAGGGCAACAGCCCCGCACAAAAAGTGTAAATGGGTAAAAGGAAAAAGGAGCAGCAGTCACAGTAACAATTGTCAGGTAATTGCTGATATTTCGTAATGCAGCAGAGCAGTGCAGGAACAGTTGTAGCAGCAGCAACAGTAATACTACAGTAGAGATTCGTTAATGTGGATACAATAAGTACAGTGGAGCCACAACAAATATGGCACGATGAAAAAACGGGATTTTAATATTGAACTATTAATCAATCCGCAAGTGTTTTCGGTGTTTCTTTTTTTTGTGTGTTCTGTTGAGCGACAAATTACTGTAGTTGTAGTAAAGCGCCGTTACATGCGCGTACATAGCCAGACGTGCACGTACTTATGCGTGTGAGTGGCTGTGTGCAATGCAGTCGACCTGCATTGACATGTCCAAGTTGTAACTTAGATAAGGTGAGGAATGGAAAGAGCGTTCTGTGACAAAAGTCAACTATTTTGATTTAGTGCGAGCATCACACTATATATAAATATGTGCATATGGATGTACGTACGGCTGCACAGAGAGAATGAGACTTATATAATAGGCGGGAAGGCGTCACCCGATATCAACACACCATGGACTTGTCGGTGTTTTTTTTTTCAAACCCACACATGCCAGTGCACTTGCACTTGTGTGTGGTTTACTTCTCTCTATCTGTCTCTCTCCCTCTGCATGTATTTGATGTCTTAAGTGCAGCGGCAGCCGCTGCAACAGCGACGGTGGCTTGGATTTGGTTTTGGTATTCACCTGCAGAGCGACAGCGCGACGCGACATCGCAGCGCTTTCGCTTGCTCGAGTGTGCTTGTATTAGTGTTATAGTTAGTGTTTGTTTGAGAGTGCGTGTTTAGGCGAGAATGTGACACGGCCGCTACACATTTGTTTTCCAATAAACAAAAATCGAATTAAAACATTACAATCGTTGCGCTTGCCCCCTCATTTCTCGATTCTCCCTTCCAGCTCCACCCCATTGAAAACAAGTGCAATATTAATTAAGTAGTGACCGGTTGAATCCATATACACATGTATTACGTTCATACATACAAAAATAAATGCATTTATGTATAGAGTATAAACAGATGCTAGGAAAAACCCTCCGGACAAATGACAAATGATGTTATAACAGAAAATAGCAAAAGAAACAGCAAAATCTCGCACATCTCCGGGTTTTACTGTACCTGAAATATGGACTGCGCAGCTCAACAACAGCAACAGCGGCAGCCGCAACAACATCAACAGCGGCAGCCGCAACAACAAGAAGAAGCACCAGCAGAAACAGAACAGCAAACACATGGACGAAGACGGCGGCGACAACAACATACACAAATGCAGCCGTCGCATCCACACATGTGGATTGCATTGAGCATTTTGACAATATTTTGGCCGCAGGTGAGTGAAAAGAGTCGTAACAAAAACAAAAAGAGTGCTGTGAAACGTGTTTAGGGTGCGGGTGCAAAAGTTGTGTGGGGCTCGTCTTGCCTCGGCTCCCACTCCCCACTACGGAAAACGGTTTAAAGTTCAGCCCTTTCAACTAAGGGACAACCCAATATTTTCCCTGTGGGGTTTTCTCCCAAAAAAAAATCGTATGTTGTTTTAATTGATAGTCAATATACATAGTAATTTTTAGCAGTCGTAAGTCATATTTGTTGCTGCCTTTTTGTTGCTTTTGTTGCCGCTGCTCTATAAGATGTATTTTAGGAACTGGTCTAACTGGTCGTCGTAGTTTTTCTGGCCGTTCTAGTACTTGGAACACACCAGCTTCAAAATTCACAGCAAAACACACAGATTGACAAAAGACAGTAGTGGGGAAAGTGTCTGGTTGTACAACAGTTTTATGCAACAATTGTGAATAATAATCATCTTCGATTTTCGAATCTCAGGCCACAAAACCCTCAACAAATTTATTAAACGGAAATGTCTCTATGTTATTATTGGTATATTTTCGTTTGCTTTTCCAGTTTTGGCTATTTCGATTTTTCCGAGGTTTATATCAAAGAAGGAGTGGCCGGCCCCCCTTCCGTCTATATCGGTTGGACCGAAGGGTGTCCCAGCTTAGTACGATCCCCATATTCAGGACTTTACCCTTTATTCAATTTCATTTATGTACGAGTGTGTCGGTTCTTTTATTATTATTTCGTTTACAAAACTCGTTTCGTTTTGCATTGTTGTCGCATTGTTGAGAAAAAAAGAGGGGAAAACAACCAGCAGCACAATAAAACAAAAGTCAAATTAAAAAAAAAAATAGCAAACGCAAGTAAAACTTAAGGTTGGTTCTGATGCGCCCCTGCTCGTGATCCTCTTTCCTTTCTTCTTGGGGATACTGGTGATTCTCGTTTCCCGCTCTGATTTTCGCTTCGTTTAATAACCTTTTCTCTTTGGGGTTTCTCTCTTATTTGTTGTGTGTTGTGTGGGGAAATTTTTGAATATTTTCACGTCAACATCTCACGTGCGTCGCGTTAGTCGCCTTGGCTTTAACTTTTATCTGAACATTTTCGTGCGATTGCAGATCGTGGGTCATTACGTGCCGGCTTATCGCTTGAACTTGACGCAAAGTATTTATATTACTAACCGTTCAGAAACAAAACAAAAACACTCGCGATGACATCAGCGAAGTATTAACCCGAAAAAAATGTGTCCCACAAGTGTCACATGCGATCCATACGAGGGAAGTTCGTGAGGCCTACACAGATATTGTGCACATACATATGTATGTCTGTATGTATATTTGTAAAGGGTATTTTGTGAACATAAATTACACACCCAAAACATGGGTTAACTATCATTTGGCAGAAGATCAACAAACACCCAGTCTCTCCTAGCAGATGGCAACCCATTCACTGAACTGTGTCAAGTGTTGAGGGAAAATTACCCCAAAAGAATCCCCTAAGATACCGAACCGAAATAAACCCAAAAATGAAGCGATTCCATGGCTCACTCTTAAATACTTAACTCAAATCTACTCTCTCTCTGTCTGCTTTCCCCCTCTTTTGCTTTTAATGTTTATTTCTGGTTCTCATTTTGAAGAACAAATTGAAGAACTCTTTAGGACTTCATTAACTGCATTCCGTTTGCTTTCGATTGATATTTCCTCCTCCTCCTCTTAGTTCTGCTTCGACTTCTGTTTGCTCCCCCTCCCCACTTCTACTACTTCGTTTTTTTCTTGTGCTTCTGTTTTTGTGATCTTCTACTTCTCCAATGTTTATGCGATGCCAAAGAAGGAGTGAAGGTGGAGAAAATATATTTACTGCAACTATATAGTTGCTTCATGCTCCTATCTTTTCATTCTCATTCTCTTCCTCCCCTTGTGTTCGTTCTCTCTCTGACCCTGTTTTGGGTGGAGTTTGTCTGTTGATGGTATTCCACATTGCACCAAACTGTACCTTCTCCTCGGATCGGATGGGATCGGAACAGATTTGTGTTTCGCCGGTAAGCGGGGAGAGAGTAGGAGTAGGAGTAGGAAAATAAGAAGAAAATATAAATACAAAATGACAAACAACTGTCGTCATTCCCTTTGGAAACAGTAAAAATAGTTGATGAATGGTTGGCTTGATGGACGACTATAACTGTACCTTTCTTGCGACTTGTTTATTCCATGTACACGGAAACAGTATCTATCTATCGCCTTTCATCCCACTTCGCCACCATATGTACATATGTACATATGTATGTATATGAGGTTATATTTTAAATATAGACACGAAGCACACAACAAAATAAATCGAGGAGAAATCCCACATTTAGCAGCAAATTATTTTGCGGTGTAAATGTTAAACTCAAACATCGATCAGCGGAGAGAGTTCCAGAGCGTCTCGTGGAGGAAGGGAAATATATGTATGCATGTAATTCGATTTTTTGTTTGCACTTTGAAAAAAGAAAGATA